CAAACTGGAATTATGAAAATAAATTTGCTTAATAATGATAAAGGTTTTTGCAGCAGTATTAGTTGATTTTTTGTCTGAAGGTGTATTTCAGTAGAAATGTTTCTTGCATCATGTGACCAACAGCAGGATGTTTTTAATGACTTACACCAGGAACAAATTAATTCATGTGATTTTAACAGAATTTCTTACTTAACTGAAAATTCAGTTTTTCATAAATTACTGTGAAATCAACAGTTTTGTTCTGATCTGCAGCTGCTGCTGAAACCGAGTCAGACTGGAGAACATCTGTGGCCTCAGTTTTTAAGTCCTGCTACAAATTCTCAATTGGATTCAGACCTGAACTTTGACTAGGCCAGTTTAACACCTGAACATGTCTTGATTTAAGTCATTTCATTGTGCAGAATTAGTTTTTTTTAGTGTTTTTCCTGGTTGATCCTCATTGTCCTGCGTGTTTCTGCTTTAACACAACACATGCAGATAACTGGATTATTTCTTTATTGCACCTTAAGTTCCTGCAGAAACAGATTAATGACAGTTCCTCTGCTGCAACGTCACATTTAGAAACCCACATGACAGCGGGCAGCCTCTCCTCTGATACGGACTGGACAGGAAGCTGCTTGTTTTCCTGCTCAAACAGTCAGAAGGTCACAGATATCGACCTGCATTCATAACCATAATAACTACGAACAGATCGCTGTGAGACGGAACAAAAGAACAAACTGGGAATGAAATGATCATTTCTCTCAAATTCAGGAGTTTAAAGGCCAGTGCTGCTCTTCATTAAATAAAAGGTAAAATATTCTGGAAACATATTTCCCTCCAAATGAACATCCCTCCATGTGGCTCCTGATTTAAGTTAGAAATATTATATTTGTAATTCGTCTTAAATGTAGCAAATAATTCTGATGATTCAAATTCACCAAAAACAAGAAAAGTAAAGTCAGATTTAATGCAGAGCAGAAAATATATTTTTTAATGTAAATATCTGTAATGTGGTGATAAATGAAACACACGAGTTGATAAGTGTGAATAACACTCATGATGATCTTTAATTATCTGTAAAACAAAAATCCACAAGAACAGTCATATGTTGTAGTTTTGAAGTTAGTTGTGCAATAACATTTATACTGTTTCCATTCATACCAAAATGTATAATTTTTGTTAAAAAATGACAAAGAAACACAGAAAAGTCTTTATGTCACTTAAAAGGACAGAAAAGCTTCCATGGCTGCAAATGAATCTCACAATCTTTAATAAGGAATAATTAGTGGCTGCAGGATTATTCAGCACGAAAACAAAGTATTGCACAAAGAGAAAAGGCTTTGGAGATGACATCATTATTAAAGAAGGAGCCGAAGTTTCTGAGATCAGCTGCACAAGGTGAGTGGATGCAGATATTTGCTAACAGCAGAGCAGCTAACACCTCCTGCCAGCCGCACAGATCAGATGTTCCTCATTTTTTGCAAGCAGACCAAAGAAAGAAGAAATAATGTGTAGAAAGACTGACTTCAGAGAAAACAACATATAACTGACATCATTGATTACATCAAGTTAAAACTGAAGGTACATTTGGGCAACAATCCAAACCCCTAAAAACTGTAATCCCTTCATTGGTTTGTTCATAAATTAGGTCGATAAAAAAAACAGATCTATAGATTATGAGCAACCCTCTAAATAATATATGATGGATTGCTCTTCTGCCACTAAAATTACAAAGCTCAAATCACAAATAACATCGTGTTCAAGTATATACAGATGTAGAGAAGAAAAACCTGTAGTATTTTGATTTACTTTCACCAGTAAGACCAAACCTATGTGGGGTTTCAAGGTTTTATCAGTTAAATTAGTGGATATGTCAGGATTAAAGCTGCAGACTTTTGGGTTTTAGTGGGACTGAATAAATTTGTCCATTCAGGATTAATTACTGTCACTCAAACCATAAAGTCATGCAGGAGAACAAAACGCTGCAGACTGAGCAGTTTGAGTTCGGCGTTATAGTGGAGCTTATCTGACGTGGATTTCAGGGATTTCTCCAGTATCTCCAGTATCTCCCAACGCTCCCAGTGGCTCCAGTATCAGTGTCTGCAGGTTCGGACTCCCTGACAAACCTCGCCTGCCTTGTTGGCGTTTTCTCTGTGGTTATGGCTACGACATCCTCAGCGTCACGTTTTGGGATCATTTTTTGTTGCTTTACACACAAAACAAAACGAAGGAACAAAAGTTTCTAAATCTGACTTGATTTAAAAGTGTGAGATTTCCAAATAACTCTTTATGCAAGTTTTATTGTACACAACTTAAACTGCATTCAAATGTTACAAACCAAACAGGAAGCAAACATGCTAACGCTAGCCTAGCATAAAATTATTCAACATGAAAACGAAGCAGCAGAATTTTATTAGAGTCTAGTTGTGTTTGTTGAGTCAGATATAAACTTAAAAACAAAATACGGTGTAATACATGTTTTAGATTACATGTTTTCACAGTAGCTGTTGTCTTACTGAGCTAATCTGCTAATTAAATCTGCAGACAGGATTAAATATCTGCTGCTGCCATCAACATGGATCATCCAGGACATTTCTCTTAGTCATCCAATGCTTTAATTTACTTTAAAGCTGTAAAGTCATTGATTTTATTAATGTCTATAAAGAATTAGCTAATGCTAATTAATGTTGGCTAATGCCAATTCTGATTAAAGGATGTGAATCAGTACCAGAAACTTTCCTTCAGCATCTTTTGTCAGTTTTCTTTGTTTCTTGTTTCTTTCAGAGAAGATAATTTCCTTCCATCTTCACCTCTTTCCATTTGCTTTCGAAACTACGGCAAATTCTTCATTTGATGTGGATATTATGTTCATTATCAGTATGCAGCCATACTTATCCTGTCTGGGTGAGAACGGTGGCGTCACACGGGTCCAAAAGAGGAAAGAAGGGGAACATCAAGTCATCCGACACCTGAGATACATCGCTTTAAATCTCTGCTGTTCCAAATAGCACATTTGCTTTGGAATCAAGGATTAGAAATTCACGTTGTTTTGCTGCATCAGAGTAAATTAATGTTGTCATAATATCATTTTGTTTAGATAAGGATTAGATGACTACCTGGGAATGAAACATCATCACTTATGAAAGTCCCCAATTAGTCAGATAATTAAAAAACAGGCCAAGGTGCCAGTTTCAGTTTCAAGCATCTGACATGCTGAGGTGAGTGAGTCTTCAGCAACTCACAGTGAAATTTAAAGTGATGTCATTTCTGTGATGCTTGAGTCCCAGTTCTGTCGGTTTCAGGGTTTCATGGAGTATGTGGCGAGTCAAATATGCCCAAAGAACCAGTGGCCTCCTGATCCTGGTTTATCTGGAGAGAAGCAGAGATGCAGCAGAGCTGAATACGCAGCGAGGCGTGATTTGGTTTCGACACCGGAGTCACAGCAGGTCAGGGTCGACGTTGCTCTGCAGATTCTCCATTTGAGCTCATTTTACGATTCTGGCAAACTACAGATTTTGTTCTGCATGATGATGATGGCGGTAAAATGACAGAGGATAAAACTGTGATGTGCAAGCATCAACATACCAACTAATTAGCTCATTTACTAATATCTCACTTCAGGGTGTCGACTGGTGCAAGGAGGACAGAGTTATGAAGGAAAACCTGCCCCTGCAGACTCAGTCATATTATTATGAAGAACTGATGGTTTGTGGATGTTGCACATCTCTTCCAGCTGATCACCGGTCTGATCATTTTTAATAGCAATAGGTCATCGTTTTCCCACCAATTTAAAGGTGAGAGATGAAGCCATCCGACATTTTTTATTTTTCCTGGTAATTTCTGCCAGATCCATAACACAGTCACTAAACATCATTTATAAATTTCTGTTAATTCAGACCAAACATCCATAAAGTCTTGAAGATGGCGGTAATGAAAGTATGTGAACTCTGCTCACCGTGTCTGTGGGTGGAGATTTCACAGTGGAGAACATCGACTGCCAACATTTCTCACAACAAATTCCTTCACTTCCCACAAGTCCAATGGGTACCAGTGAGCTTGATGATCTAGTTGGGAACCTAATCCAGTTTCTTCTCCAACAAGGAAGGCAACCGACACAATGCAGCACAAAGCAGCAGACTGGCTGCACCGTCTCCCAGCCTGCAGCAGTTCAATGTGGAAACGGTTTGTGTACCGTATGCATAACGTGTCTGAGGATGTTGGGGCCTTTTGTGGAATGGATGATGTCTTTGCAGCTGATGGAGTTCTGTTGGGACCTTAAAGACCCACTGGTGGGTTTCTGACCATGAAACAGCCTGAGTCAGCTCCTCTAAGTGCTCTGACCGTGAGTGGAGGAGTCAGGGCCTCAGCTCAGCGGTTTGCCGGTCAGAACAAAACTTGATTCTCTCAACAAAAGCTTGAACCCAAGCAGCTGGAAAGGCTTCCTCCATGGGCGGCTGAAGTCAAGTGGCTTGGGAAGACCTCTGAGTAGAACTGCTCCACATTGAAAGGAGTCAGCTGAGGTGAATCTAATCGGGGATTCCCAGGAGGCCGACCCAGAACCAGAACCTGCTGGAGTAGTTAAATGTCCCTTCTGGCCGGGAACGGCTGGGGATGATGCAGAATTAGACTGGGTTTCCCTTAGAGCTTTTCATCCTGACCTCAGGCAAGCAAAGCACCACAGATGGATGGGTGATATTTTACAGCTTATAAATTGTGAATTATATTTTGCGAAGGTTTGGTATTTTTTGTGGGAAACTAGAAAAACGAGGCGTAGCACGCTAAAGACTTTGACCCAAAACGGTGATATGAACCAAACCAAGGAATCTTTTAGCCTCTGGCATTTGCTTCATATTCTGTGTACAGTTGGACAAATTAGAAAAGCAGCAATAAAAATCACTCAGCTAGTCAAAGTTTGGATTTCAAACTGAACCGATGACAATGAACAGGAAACTCCCCTAACCTGCTGGTTCGGCCGGTAAACCACAATAATACTCCACAAAGAAACGGAGACGACGACACGACAAAGCAAACCGGTTCATTTAAGAGCTTATGGCGTTCTATACAATAAGGCATTGCTTGAATGGGAAACACTGGACAAACATTTCACAGTTTAATCAGCGTTTGATTGGCACGTGACACCTGGTCAGCCAAGCATGACAGCGTCTTCAGACTGATTGTTTTCGCCACTCGACGATCCGCGACGCTGAGGCCTGATCTGCAGAGATGGAAGCAACTGGCCAAAAATGACAGCAAAAATCCAAAATCATTCAGAGCCGCTCTGCGCCACAAGCTAGAAAACAAACAGAAACACACTCCCAACGCACATATTAGATCCACATAGTTTGCAGACATCGGTGGAAATAATACTAATCTGGGAACTTTTCCTTACCTAAAACAGAATTAATAAATGGAAACACCTAATAAACTCCACTTGGGACAGTAGTCCAGAGGGCTTTATGCAGCTAAGATAGCCTATTTACAATCATCTATAGTATGCAACACAAATAACCTGTTTCACTTATAGTCTAAGCTGATATGTTCCGGCCGTTTGTCAAAGAAGAGAAAACCTAATCCAAAAAAATGGGAATTCATTAATTGTGCTTTTTAACCCACAGATCCCCTTCACTGCTGAAACGGGACAATTTCAAGAGGCACCAACTGAAGTGCGTACATCAGATAATGAGCATCTCTAAAGCTATAACAAAGACTGGAAATACAAACAGTAAAGAGTTTATTTGTATGTCTATAAAGGTGGTACAATTCCCTTCGAGTCCTACGTCTGGTTTAAAAAATATTTTCTTCACTGTGTCCTGCGTCGACAGGAAGGATCTTTGAGTCAAAGCAAAGCCCTTATGATGCTCTCAGAGAACAAAAGTCTTTGCCAGGATTTTCCTAGTCGTCCAAATTCTGGATCACACACAAAGCTAAAAAAACAACAAGAAGAGTTTTAATGACGGATGCTGATAACGTCCGGTCACATTTCTGATGCAGCCATCCGACACGGTCTTTAGACAGTTACCTCGTTCTTACTGGCAGTGCGGTACGTGTGGTGGTGGCCGGGAATGTACTGCAGGTGGTCCACCGTGTGTGTCCGTCGGGACGCGAACGCCTGCCTCTTGGACGTGGACGTGCCAGCGTGATGGTTGACCATCAGCGTGTTGTACGAGTCACTGGAGGCACTGGGTTGGGAGTGCATCTTGGTCATCTTGTGGCGGTCCATGACTGGCGTGGTCGGCATTAGCATGTCGGCGTGAGACATCGCCCGCGCCATGGCCTTCTCCCGGAACTTGTCACGCCTCATCGCCGGGGACAGCAGAGGATCCTGGGAGTGGAGGCGGTCCGCCGAGAGCAGCTGCTCGTTTGAGAGGTTGCGGCTGCTTCCGTATGCGGCGGCTGCCATGGCGCCGTACGACGACAAGCCGTAGTCTCCGCGCCGCGGCGTCCTGGGGGGGGACAGGACGTGGTCCTGGGACATGGCCCTCTGCACCCGCCGGGGGCGCTGCTGCCGCTGCTGGTGCTGCTGGTGCTGGTGGTGCTGGTGGGGCTCAGCATTCAGCTTCACCATGTGGGTCGGACCCCGACCAGCGAAGTCAGGATGAAGATGCTTCCTGGGGTAGTAGTCATCCATGTCTTTATCGCCTGTGTGGACGGATGAGGAGACCAGAGAGAGAGAGCTGCTCAGAAATGGACCCAAATGTGATTTTATTGTCTTAGAGGGAGAAAAGGAGTAAAATTACTAAAAGGACTAAACGTCGCCGATGGCCGACACATCCACCAAACGCTCCTTTAAAAAGTTTGTTGCTATGGCTACAGTCATTATGGATCCGGCTTGGATCCATAATCTGGATCTGTTATCCACTGCTGACAGCTGATTGGTCACAATAGACCACATGATACATCATATCATTATTGCTCAGAGGATTTATTTATGTTTTTGTTTTAGTCTAAAATTAGTTTTTCCACAAATTTATGTTAAAAGCAACAAACCTTCAGGGCCAGAAAGATTGTTCTTAACAAACCATCATTTCAAATCAAAGAGAAACGACACTGAGGTGCTGAGGCTGATTCTGACTGGCTTCAGAAAGAGGCTCATCAACCAATCAGCTTTTAAAACCTGGCAACCTAACATCGATTTATTCAGCTGGTTTCTGCACAAACAGACAAAACAAACCAAAAGTGTCATTTAGTCGTAAACCTGATGAGGAAAAACACGGTGATGGAAAGCAGCCGTCAGTCGTCTGCAGCATCACTTTTCACAAAGTTCATGTCCTTAATGGAAAAGTCAGAAGATTCTCCACCAAATTACCTTACAGTAATTTTAGGTTTCAAGTCCAAACGCCTTTAATAACTTGGCAGTTTGTTGGTAAATACATAAGTAAAAAGATGTGGAGGAAAATGATTGTTTCTTGTTTTTAATTGGTTTTGTTTTCTTGCTGAGTCAGCTGCTCTGCTCCTCCTGTGCATCGTAACGAGGTGACTCGCTCTGACCTTTGACCTCCGGTTCACACGGGACATTTTGGCTGAAAATGCCAACCGAACCCAACCAGAGGCAAAAACGGTACCAGAGACGGTTCAGGCATTTTCACTCACAGTGTGAATGTTTGATACTGAAACAGCAGTGAAACCAGATTCTCAGCCCTGCCAGGTTTCATTTGACCAAAACGCCTTCAGACTTTGGATTGAAATCAATCTGTAGGAGAAGCTAAAGATTAGGGTGATGGTACGGAGGGCAAAGACTAAACCACCACTGGAAACAAGCAGCATTATGTAATAATGTAATAAAATCAGGCTTTAAAATGTAATAAAACATCATTAAAACTGCAGTTTGTAACAATCGACACAAAATAAAAACCTTTGAATCGTTGAGAAGACATGCAGGTTATCAGAGGCTGCTCTGATTCAGTTTACAGGAAGAAGATCAGAAACATGATTATTAGATAATGCATCACATCATTTCTAAAAACTGAGCTTTCTTCTCTAATAATCTGTGGAAATGTAATAAAATCCCTGAACATGGCAGAACTTTATTACATGATGTGATTTTAATGAAGTTTTATCGCATTTTGAAGCCGGATTTTATTACCTTATTACAGATTGCAGCGTTATCACATAACTTCTTTTTCACATCCACGTTTTTATTGAAATGTAAATAAAAACTGAGGACTGGTGATTTAAATCATTTCAGCCCTGAATCTGAACTTTGGGTTCCTGGTGGCCTGGTTCTGACGGGTCGGCGCCGGAGCTGCAGCAGGAAAATGTGGAGGTTTTCTGTGTCAGCTGCAGCCTGCAGTAAACTGTGGCTGTGGAGTTTTGATATGAAGCCTAATTATAACATGTGAGTTAAATCCTGACTGAACTGATGCAGTCAGTTCACCAAACAGGCTGAGCATTTCTTTATCCTAAAGTCAAACCTTCATTTCCACAAACAGATCATTAAACTGCAGTTCACTAAATTACATCCTGTACAAACACAGTATTTATCCATCAGCAGGCTGCAGGCGATGATAAGGCAGCAGATCTGGAATAAATGTGTGTGTGTGTGTGTGTGTGTGTGTGTGTGTGTGTTTTAACCCTCTCACGGTGATGACGCCAACATCACATCGTTCTCCGTTTCAGCGAACGTCAAAGAGGACCAAACGTTTCTCCACTGCTCTCATTTTAAATCTACTAATTAAAACATTACAAACAGACGCACTAATTTAATTTAGTTCATTATTACCGTCTTTTGAAATAGTTTTATTAAATAAGAGCCAAATTAAATTTGGGCATGTTTCCTTGTCTGGACTTTAAATCCAGAGGAACAGGAAGTCGTTCCTCCTTCATCCCATCTGACCTGAAAATGAAAAGTTTTCCTTTAAGCTTCATGATTTATGCACAAAATTCTGCAAGCATTTTTCTTTTTACTCAATAAAATCACAAGCAAATATGACTTAGTTTGATTCATAATTATAGTTTTGCTTTTAATCCTAATTCAGGTTTTATTAATTTGATAGATACATTTTAATCTGGAATGCATGTGTAATCTCCTTAATCTCCTTTTAAATGTGTGAAGATCTGTCAGATTATGGTTCTCTGTGTTTGTGAATAAATTAATGAAGTTTAAATCAGCACTGCACTCAACTTCAGAAAACAAATTCAACTAAAGCCATGAATGTTGTTGAGTACAGCCGTGTGAATTCAGACGCTTCTTTCCCAGACATCCAGGCCAGTTAGAGGTCAAAGGTCACTGCGTGTGCAGCTGCACGTCAGGCTCCTCCTGCAAACGTTTCATGAACTCCTCCATATGAAAAATGTCCCAAAGTGAAGAACCTGTCTGGCTGTTAAAAGGTAAATATAATTTAAAAGGAGCAAAAATCCTCCACAAATATGTGATCAATTAAAAGTATTGATTAATGTGGTTCTGGTTTTTCACGCAGCTTTTCTATCTCAGCTGCTCTTTGGTAATAAATAGAGACAAAGTTGGATAAGTTGTGTTTTTGTTGGTCCGATAAGAAATGAAAAGTTACTTTTCTCTTGTAGATTTATTTTTGAAACCAGATAAACGCTGGAAGGAGATTTTTCATTCATGCATCCTAATGAATGACCAATGACATCTGTAAGTGGCTTCCTGTCGTTGTGACTTCAGACCTTTAGTGGCGACTCTAAAGTTTGTTTTACCTCTTGTGAAAAATGCTTTTAAAAGAGCAGCAGCAGCAGCAGCACTCCAACCAAGAGCCACTAATGTTCCTGCAGAGGAACAACGTTGAATGTTAAACAATGAGGAGCGTTTTATAAAAGATCTACAGTCAACAAATCTGCTAAATGTGATAACAGCAAAAGCCAAACGTGTTTCTGAGGCTCGAATAAGTTGACTGATAAACCAGGAGCAATATGGAAACAGCAGCTCCTCTTATCTGTTCCCAGTCTGATAAATTATGTGCATCTGAAAGCAGAGTGTTTCAGATAAAAGCAGGAACAAAATGTGGCTCGATTAAAGCGTCGTCGTCTCAAGGAGAGCGGAGAGGAGAAGCAGAACCAAACAACAACGTGGCATCAGAAGCTGCAGCTGCTTATCCAGGCGCTCCTGCTGCAGGAGGCGATACCGAATACTCATCGTGACTACGGCAACCGCATCACCGATACGATACTTCAGTTTGATACATCATCAAACCTCTGACCTTCTGGTGTTTTAAGTTTTTCCTTTGCGTTATTTTCTTCAAACCTTCAACAGAATTTGTTCAAAGTTGATACAAAACGTGTCACTAACATATTAATATGACTTTTTGTGTAAAAAGTGCAAAAAAATTACCACGTGCGTGCAAATCAAAACGAAATATTTTTTAAAGAATAGTTGAGAAACAGCAATAAAAATAATCAAAAAGTGAAGATTGAATCAGAAACTGAAACCAAACATCAATTTCAGCTAAAAGTAAATAAAAATCATCTGATTTCACATTTTTATCCCTGAATGTTTAAAACGGTTTTAAATTTGTTAACACAAAAATCTCACTAAACCTGTTATTTCATTTGAACATTTTTTTTGTATAAAACAACCTGAATGCTCATCATCGTTTGATGTTTCTGTTAAACTTCCAGAAATATTCATGTTTTCCATAAGCAGGGCTGTCAATTTTCCATCTTTCCAAACTGAATTTTCCTTTGGATGTTTTATTTATGCTCTAAAAATAGGAGAATATTTTTGCACAGAAACATCCGTGACGTCGGGCTCCTCAGCGACTCCTTCTGCTTGTCTCAAAGGTTTTAGGTTATTTTTTAAGTATTCGTACAGGAAGCTCCTTACTTTTGGATTAGAAATCATTCAGTGTTCATTATTTTACTTTCTGTTCAGATCCATTTCTTCTGAAACCCAAACAGTCTGACTGACCGGGTTCTGCTGTAGGAGCGTTTACAGAGGAACATTCAGCATAACGTCTGCCCTGTCCAGCCACATCATTTCACATCGTTTAGGATGTGAAATGATGTCCTGGTTCACGGCTCATCAGGCTAATTGTTAGCAGTAACTTGCATTAAATTAACAGAAGAAAGACATGAAGCATGCAGCAGTCAGCCCACATCATAATACCACTGCTAATCTCACCCAGGATAATGAAGTGTGGAACTGCTCTGACATCAAGGCGCCATCATGGCGCCATATTAACCATATTCTACTGGAAAGGCTCTTAATATGACATTAGCAGACATTAGCAGCATGACTTGGGCTGCAGATGGGATCAGATCACACGGCGGCTCCACAATGAGGCGATGGGAACAAACATGGAGGCTTCAAGCTTTCAGGATCATTTCTCTACAAAATGTGAAAAGGTGAGCGGACGACCAGTAAATACAGGAGCGTCTCATTAAATCAGAATATCACCCAGAAGTTCATCTGCTTCAGTCAAACTCCAGGGATGAAGACTTTTACCCACATGATTAATTTCAGTTGTTTCTCTCAGAATGAACAATTCCGGCTTACAGCCACTGGAAAAACCACCAGACCAACAGACGAGGGATTTGGTGATGAAATATGAACAGAGTCCATGAACCAGACAGGAAGTGACCTCACTGAGGCTCCTGGGTCCTTAAAAAGCCTTAAATTCATTTAAAAGTAAAATAAAAACTGTAAACATGTCTTACATTTTGTAGTGGGAGAACTATTAAATCTTCTATATTTCACTTTTCTGCAGGCAAACATTTGAGTCGCACGCAGATTTTTTCATTCTGACACTGGAGGAGGTTGAGGCTACCGCTAACTACCGCTAACTACCGCTAACTCACTGCTAACCCAGCCCTGCTAGCTAGCTGTTCTGCGTGTATCATGGTGTTGTTGACGTTTGGCTCATTTCTGTTGCCAATCCATATGATTGTGTGCAAAACGACTTGGCGCTAATATATGAAATCTGCCGCTGTTTTTCTACATTTCTATCATAATACAGGTTTTAATTTGCAAAGTCAAATTTCTCATATGTCATGTTTGATTTATACAGAAACTGAAGGTACCATGGTTACTGGATTGTGTTATGAAATGGCAAACAAAATACACAAATACTTCTTCTTTAAGTTTTCAACATTTTTTCAATGTATTGTATCAATATGACTTATTTTGCTTCCCTGAACAGGTTAAGATGGACTGTGGCCTATTCAAAACCTGTTCATTACATTTTTTACACAAAATGATTCTTTGATTGACATTGGTTGATTTTTTTTTATACAAAATAATTGAGCAAAAATGCAGCGAATGGTTTCTGGATGGTGAGTCAAGAATCTAACACTTGAGTTTTCCAGCAGCCATTGTACAGCACATGCAGCGGTAAGACCAGCTGACCAAACATGCTGGAGCTCAGTTTGGGTTGCTAGGTAACGGGCTGGGTAATGACAATTGAGAAGTTTTTGAAACGGTTCGTTTTCCAGACACCAAAAACATAAATTTATTGAAAATAAATCCCTTGTTGGGTTTTTTAAAAGCTTGGGCTGTTTTTAGAAGCAGTTCAGATAAAAATGTGCAAAATGTGAATCTTGCACATTAGATCCCCTCTAAAGATATTCTGACTCGCAGAGATGCCCCTGTACTGGTCACAAGGCGTCATCAGGAGCATGCAGGGGCGTGTGAACCCGTTTCTGGGCGGGGCGTGAGGGTGACGTCATTCCGAATCGCTCGTTTCCGACGGCGACGGAGGACAAATGGAGGAGCACCTACTTAGTCTGTGAGGAGAGTATTTACTTAAGTCAGGCTTGAGCGGCAGCTCGTAGGACGGCTGCAGGTGGCTCAGGTTCTGGAAGGATCTGGACAGCGAAACGTCGTAGGGCTCGGTGGCCGAGGTCAGGATGTTGTTGATCCGCTGCGGCCGGTCTGCAGGGAACAAGGGAACAAGTTGCACGGCGGTCAGAGACAGAGGACGAGTCAGAGCGCTTAGTGGAGGAGAAATGTCCGAACTGAAGATCTTCAGGTGAGGCTCTCTGCTGTTTATTCCTTTTGTTTTGTTAAAACTAAAACATACTGAATGCTGCATGTGTTAAAGGAACATTTAACTTTCAGCTCTGAACGGTTTTTAACTCGTAGCAGCCAAACGGTCCAGACGTTTCTACATCCTTCAGAGTTCATCTGGACTTTTCCACCTGCTGTGTCTTGTCTGGGAGTTTGCATTTGTTTACCACTAATCTGTGTGGAGCGACCCAGAGCGAAACTGGACTCTACCCTGTCAGAAACGCTGTCGGTGTTTCAGAGTATCGGTTCTGATTTCCTGTGACGGAGTGAGGAGGCTTTCTGACAAAACTCAGCCAGGAACACAGGAAGTAGCCAGGAATTACATTGTTAAAGTTTTGATGATTGAGAAGGAAATATGAACATTTTTATTCTTAATAGTAACGAGATGTTTTCTGACACCAATGTGGCTCCATACTTTGATGACTTTGTTTAATAAAATCAATCATAGATTTTACGTCTTTGGTTCGTGTGTCTGCAGCAGTGAGACAGGATGTGTGAAAAATGAAACGGATCAAAGGATTCATTGTAATAATTAAATATAAAAATGTAACGAAGCGTTTTCAGGTGGAAGGAAACATTTTAGCTGTTCTCTTTGAAGTTCCAGTTATTATCTGGAACCGGTTCTCCGTTTCTCAGTGAAGCTCTGGATCCTCCGTGTTTCTCTGTCACTTTGCATTCAGTTCATCTCAGATTCACATTTTCTTGTTTTTATCTGATTTATGAAGAGAATAAATAAACAGAAATAAAAGTGAAATGTTCTAAAACCTGTGGATGGTTTTAAATATTCAACTTTTTTACATCTTTAATGTGACAAATTAACTGGAAAACAAACTAAATCATTCAGGGAGACAACAGACATCTAAACGCTTTTCATTAAACTCTTCTTGAGTTTGTGGTTATGATCTATTTAAATAATTTGATGAATCTGAAATGAAGCCAAGCGGGTTGGATTTTCCTGATATTTGAATCATTTATAAAATATCTACAGAATCAGGCCAGTGTGCAAATGTATCAGTCAGGAGAAAATACAAAACATATCCCAGTATTTCCTGTTCAAGTATCAATAACTGCAGATTTATGGGAGAAAAACCAACAAAAACAACAAACTGGAAGTTTGAGGGACAACAAGGAAACTCTGATCCAAAAACAACACTGCACAACACCAAGAAACAAACCCACAATGAAACACGGCAGTGGCAGCATCATGCCTTCTACAGATGGATGTGGGTTTAAACGCTTCCAAACACGAGTCGATTTTTGGCCCAAAACCTTCAAAAAGCTGAAGATCTGGAAAGTTTCATCCAAACAGAGACGAGAACAAAGAGTTCAGAGGAGGATCAACGATTTGAAGAATCTGTTGGACGACCTGAACTGAATGCAAACATCCTCACAAAACACAGAGAGCAAATATTAAAATGTAAAAGATGCTTTTACAGTATCAGTCTGGAGTCTCTTTGTGTAATCCACCATCAGATTTGTTTGTTTCTCTGTTGAATTGTGCAGAAAAATGTCAATAAAAATATTCCTAAAACCATTTATCTTGGATTTGTTTTCTTCAGCAGAACATTCTGAGTGAAGATGTTTGACTTTTGTTGCAGCTGATAAGGTGATAAATCTGTTCAGGCCTAATGGGGATTTACAGCCAGCAGCCAATGAAATGCTTGGAATGCGACCAGATTAGCATTTCAGTGTTTGAGTTTTGTTTCGTCTGCTGAAGCATCAGATCCTCTCGGCTCTCTGACGTGATTCAGTTGTTAGACGTTGGTGTCCTGATGAACTGATCCTCTCTGCAGCTTTGATTCGTCTAAAGCTGCATTAAAGCAACAGTTCAGCGCAGCGCCTTGAGCTTCAGTTCAGGGAACCATTTCATGACACCATTAAAGCTCCCGCACTGCGCGGCGCTCCTGCAGCTCCAGAATGTGGGACGAGCAGCCACGGGTCGGGAGGCGCGCTGGGTGGGAAGGACAGGGACCCGATTAAAAATAGGCCTGGGGCGGCTGCTGCGGCACGGCCGGCGGAGCGGGCGGGCGCAGGGACACGGGGAAAATCAAGAACAGATTCAGAGATTGGGCTAAAGGTCATGAACTGAAATGCAGCAGTTTGACATTTAGTGACTGCAAAGAAACACAAGCACTGAAAAAACTGAAATGAGAACAAAATGATCCCGGTGGGAAGGAAACCAGCTTGAATCTCTGCTGCTCATGACACACGTTGAACGAAAAGTGATCAAAACGTACACATAAAACTATGTGTATCACTTACCGTATCCCATTGGTCTGTGGGCTGACGGGTCCAAGTGAGAAAGAGAGGATGTTATCAACAGACGCTTCACAACAAGACGTCGCTTCGGAAAATGGCAAGACAGCAGCTAAGGGTTAACAAAAGGTCCAAAATGTGAATTATGATGGAGCTAAGCAGACTTCAGTTGGTTCTGGAGGTACTTTCAGGCCCATTTCCCAGAGAAAAGCATCCAGACGACACACACAGGAACCCAAACACTAACCTCAAAACTCTGCAGAATCTGCTGACGGGAATCAGCAGATTCACTCATTAATCAATGAATTAGTTTGTCTCTTTTCATCGTCGCTGAGCTGCAGGACTGGTCAGCAAAGTCCACATTAAATCACAGTGGTGGAGTTTTAAACAGCACGGCCATCCGTTATTTCTATTTACTTCTGCGAAACCAACAGGACTCTTTGGTTTCGACCGTCCAGTAAATCAGATCTTTGCAGCCTGCAGTCATGTTTACTCACCCAGTTTGGGAGTGAGCGCCGTCAGGTCCAGGTGGCTGTGCTGGTACTCATGGTGGTGGTTTCCTGTTAGAAGACAAGAAGAGACAAATGAAACTCAGTCAGAACCCGGCAGACAGGAAGAAACCTGGTTTATCAGTTACAAAAACTCACTCGGCAGGAAAGTGATTCTTCTTTTAATTCTAATTTATTTACAGAACTACTTCCCTATTTTAGTTAAAAAGTGGTTTCTGAGCAAATCCCTCAGTGATGAGTAGCAGAGAAACCAGAGAAACCAGAGAAACCAGGGAAACCAGAGAAACCAGGGAAACCAGGGAAACCGGAGAAACCAGGGAAACCAGAGAAACCAGGGAAACCAGAGAAACCAGGAAAACCAGGAAAACCAGAGAAACCAGAGAAACCAGAGAAACCAGGGAAACCAGAGAAACCAGGAAAACCAGAGAAACCACGGAAACCAGGGAAACCAGGGAAACCAGAGAAACCACGGAAACCAGGGAAACCAGGGAAACCAGGGAAACCAGAGAAACCAGAGAAACCAGGGAAACCAGGGAAACCAGAGAAACCAGGGAAACCAGACTTAGTGATTCCATGAAGGAAAACAAACATCAGATCAGATCAAACCTTGCTGGATGTTGTGGCACCATAACTCAGATATCTTGGTTATTATTTCAGCCATAATGTGAAACTGAAAGTAAAAGGACAACATGACGTTTCTACTACTGCAGTTTGGTTCTAAAGCTGATGCCCCAACCTGACGGTTGGGTTTCTGCAGTGAAGAGAAAAACTATTTCAGTTCATCACAGCTGATAAGAAAACTTAAAGATCGCTGCAAATATTTTCCCAAAACCAAAAATAAATCGTCTGCCCTAAAGTCAACAGAGACGTTGGAAATTTGGTTTAACTGGTTTGGTTCTTGGATGAACTGAGAAACTTTAGGAGAAAACCATTTTGTGAAAAACTTAGACTGTTTTCCTCCTTCGGTCCGGTCGACCCGGTTCTACTGGAACCAGAACATCTGCTCCACCTCCAGCTGCTGTGGCTCTGAGTCAAACCAACCTGTTCCCCTCCTGGCCTGTGGGGGCGCTGCACCAAGAACCACTGAGGGAAACGAAACTTCACCAGATGGAAACAAGATTTTAGCGGTTGGAGGATTTCTCTGCTAGCGCTAGGCTAACACGATAGTGTTGCTTGTATTTACCCAGAATGCCCTGCGCTGTTGTCCACTTCCTGCTTGTGGAGCGGTCTCTGGTCCACTTCGTGTTCACATTGAAACTAAACCAGAGTTCACTTCAACTGAACTCAGACTGAGGTTTGGAGGTCCAGAGGTCAGTTAGCATCCACACCTCACCGACCGGACCGGACTTTCTAGACAAACGGACTGGAGTTGGACTGAAGCAGACTGAACTGGGCTGGTGGGATGAAACTCGTTCTGAACCAGAAGACGTTCTGGTTGGAGGCCTGACTTCAGCCAGTCTGTGCTGCAGGTCTGAGGCCAACAGGATCCAACACAAACCATGTTCTACTTTCATGCAACAGGAAAATGTCTCATTTCAGATCCTCCTGTATCTGAGGGAATCGGGTGAAAATCTTCCTCAGAAAAAGACTGAAGTCATGATGACGACTCACCCATCAGCTGGTGCTGCAGCTCACAGCAGCTTTGCCAACATAAATCAGTTTTTCCTTCTGTTTAGGGAAGTGATTGATCATCACCTGTTAACAGAAGCAGCTTGGCTCGCTGTGATCCGTTGTTGCTCTCAGTCATTTGATTCTGCTGGAGGACAAAACGTCTGAGCCGCTCCGCTTTCTACAGACGGTACTCAGAGCATGCAGCGGCTGCCTGTTAGCATTCAGCCGTGTTCATTTGTCACGCAGAGAGCAGAAACACAAAGGAAAGTGTTTCTAAATGCCCCAGAGAGCTCTGCTGAGCTGCGTGAAAAGCTTCGGCCGGCTCTGCTGTAGTTAAAGATCAGGGTTTGCATGTCGCCGGGCGGATTCTCCTCTGGGCGCATGTGACATTTCTGACAAATGTTGAGTGTTGCTCAGATCCAGATGTAAATATGTTGCTGAAATGTGATTAACCGGTTTTAAGGAGCCACGTCGGATAAGCAAACAGTCCCGGTTTGTTGTCCCTGCAGACGCAGGCCGATCCCTCATTACAAATATTGGATCTTGGAGCCAATTATGGCTGAACTGTTTCTCCTCACAACGGGAAGCTAAATAAACGCAGCTCTTTAAAGCAAACCCAGAGCTCAGTAGCTGGAACGGAGGATTTTGTTTGGGATAATTTCTGCTTTGTGACTTTTTATTGTGACACAATAAGCAAATAATAAAAATAAAATGTTTGGCCAATGAATACAGAGAAACGCTCTAATCCTGAACAGAAGACAGAGAAGATTCAGACGCGAAGCGAACACTTTCACGTTTTCCTGAGCTCTGATTGGCTCTGGGGACGACGACGATGATGATGATGATGAAGAGCATGGGCGCTATAAAGTCCTGTGGGACTTTGATTACTTATCTCTGACGATCCGCTCCAGGCCTCTGTGCCATCACCCTCATCTTTAGCCAGGCCACAGATTCAAGGCTGTAGCTGAAAATGTCGATTAAAAGATGATTTTAGATCTAAACTTTAACTGCAGGTGAAAACAAGACGAGTTTATTGGGAACGACTTGATGATTCAGATCCGTCTCTCCATCCCAGCTGCAGTCTGATCAAATTAACTTCTGGTGAATTTTCAGCTGAACTTTTCCCAGATCCAGTTGTCAGAATGGATCTGGTCTGCAGCAGCAGCGACCTGCTGAGTGCTGATGCATAATGCAGCAGGCCTGGCTGACAGCAGCCATGTCACAGAGGAAGCGGGCTCCAGCCGGGGGACACAGGGGTTTCCACGGCAACCCAGATCCATTTTAAACGCCTCACTCTGGGGCAGCTGCCGGCCAGAAGCCGACCGCAGCCAGGGCTGTCGCTCTGCTGACAGGCATCTAGTTAGCATCACGTTAGCATCACGTTAGCATCACGTTAGCATAACGGGACACATCACCTCATTCTGACAGAAAGTCTCACTTTGGAGCTTCTTTAGGCCGTGTGGAACGAGAGATCAGGATGACCTCTGACCTCTGACCCTCTGGTTCCTCAGTGGACCTTCCAGCAGCTGCAGGACATTCAGGCCCAGAGGACGAAAGTCTGAGACCAGAGAAACTCATCCAGGATTTAGTGGCTCTGATTCCTGCAGCAGGTCAGACTGAGACCAGAAGCTGCAGCTGGAGATCTGACTAGAACCAGGAGGGTAGAGACACCACCTGGTTCTACACCACCTGGTTCTACACCACCCGGTTCTACACCACCTGGTTCTACGCCACCCGGTTCTACACCGCCTGGTTCTACACCACCTAGTTCTACACCACCTGGTTCTACGCCACCCGGTTCTACGCCACCTGGTTCTACACCACCTGGATCTACACCACCTGGTTCTACACCGCCTGGTTCTACACCACCTGGTTCTACACCACCCGGTTCTATAGTCCTTCACTGAGAGAACAGACTTTAAATGACAGAAAGGTTTTCACCACATTACATGTAGAAGCAGCATTCAGCTTCTATGCACCACAAATCTGCAACAAACTTCCAGAAAACTGAAAAACAGCTGAAACACTGAGTTCCTTTAAATCAAAGCTGACCCCCATACACAATGTTTCAGCTAAAAGCACAAAACATTTTTAAAAGTCAACCTGGATCTGGATATTAAGGTCCTGCTGTCACCGTCCGTCCCGTCATGTTGCACAGACTCGTTCTGTTTTTAATACCAGATCAATAGAAACAAGTCCAAACTGTTTAAATGATGATTTTGGGTGGAAACTTATTTCCCCCCTGCAGCATCAACAGCTGCAGATGGATCCTGACTTTCATTTAGACGCATCAGACTGAGATGAACTCCACACTTTTCAGATTATTTTGTAATAAAATTTGAAATTTGTGAATTTCCCCCCCAATTTTAGCTATGCACAAATCTGCATTGGTAAGTTAAAGTTGTGTTAAAGTGGTTTAGAAATCCTGCCAACATCAAATATAATAATGATGTGAATCTTCGTGTTTCATGGACAGAAACAGATTACTCATTAAAACGGAGAGACCAGAGTTTTAACGGCTCCTGTTGGTAATTTTCTTGGTTTCCAGTCGAGCCCCTCCTGATCTCTGCTTCACCAAACCGAAGCCTCTTAATGCCACATCTCTGGGTAATTAAAAAAAATCTAATTTCTCAGTTGCGTTTTCCCTTTTGTGCTGTCAGTAAATCATTCCAGCTCCGTCTGCAAGTAAACAACTTCTGAGTAAAAAAACTAACAGAACAGTTTGTCTCTGATTTTCTTTTAGCTTTTGACAAATTAGTTAATTTTCCACCTCGTAAACTCCAGATGTGGTCGAGACTCCGCCATGTTTGTTTGGACCGAGTCTTACCAGTCAACCGTTTCCCACGACGACGGCGCCTCCAGCATCTCTGGGAGATTGTGATTTACTAACAAGGATAAGCACAGATTTATCTGATGTCTTCTTCGATATCTCAGAAGTAACATCACACAAAGCTGCCGTTATCCTTGCTGTGGAACATCGGAGTCCAGCAGAACAGGAAACAGGAAACAGGAAGGCTGAAGAGTTCGCAGCGGAGGCGGGAAAACCTGCTCAGTGGAACCGAGGGTTAAACCCGATTACAGATCAAACCGGGCCTGGAGTTTGACACATGACACCAACACAGGGAAGGTTCGTTTTAATTAGTGTAAATGCATCTGCAGATGATTAACAATGTTTTATGAGTTAAAGGGTTTTATCAGTACAGCCACTATGAGCTTGACATCCCTGATCTACATGAACAAATAAATGCTTGAAAAATAAACCTGCATGCAGAACATCCACACGATTTAAATTTTTTAGCTGAATTACTGAAATAAATTACAGTTTTGATCATTTTCTAACTTATTGAAATCCAGGCGGCTCAACATGGGATTCCTTCAGGAGCTGCAGAAAGAAAAAACAAAGTCTGGACTGGAAACTGGACTGGACTTCTGACAGGAAT